GCCTGGGTGACAGAGTGAAACTCCATCTCAAAAAAAAAAAAAAAGAAATTAAAGTAGTAAGCACACCTGCATCCCACCATACACGCGCATACAGAACTCCCGAAGCCCCCAGCATAGCAGCATTCACAGCACCCACATACCAGACCGGTGGGGAACAGAAAATCCACATGATATGTAAGTTGTTTCAGAAAAAGAGCAGTTGAGGGAAAGTGGGCCCACCCATTTTATGAAGCTAGTAGGCAGCTAGAAAGGTGAACACAAGCAAATTGGAAGCCAGTTTTATAAAAACCTTGACGTATCAGCTAACCAAAATCCAACGGAATACCAAGGTCACATAAAGTTTGTCTCAGGAATATCAGAAGGGTTCGAATTAGAAATGTTAACACAGAAATTCACCAGGTTCAAGAAGAAAAGTCAAGTCATCATGGCATCATGGGGCTGGGCATGGTGGCGCCTGCCTGTGGTCTTGGCTACTTGGAGGCTGAGGTGGCAGGATCACTTGAGCCCAACAGGTCGAGGCTGCGGTGAGCCACGATCACACCACTGCTCTCCAGCCTGGGTGGCGCCGCGAGACCCTGTCTCAAAAAAAAACCCAAAATTTTGTAATCATTATATTGATGTAGAATATGGCATTCAGTGACATTTAATATACTTATGATTTAAAGATTTTTTAAAGTAGAGAATAAGGGCGAGAGGGCATTTTCCTAACTTGGTAAGGACTGTCTTCCTCACACCCACGGCCGGAGGAACAGAGAGCCTGCCCGTGACCTCCCTCTAAGGTTAGGAACTTCCATATTATCCCGGGAGTCCTGGTCAATGCAACAAGGCAGGAAAAAGAAATCAGCCCTTGAGGAGCTAGATCAAGGGAGGCAAAGTCACATTCCTGTGTCTTTCATGATAATGCTTAATGTTGAATTCCCCAAATAAATGACAGCTAACTATTAGTACTAATCAGAGCTCAACAAGGGGCCCAACACAAAGAAGTCAATAGCGTTTTTTTGTTTTTGTTTTTTGGACGGAGTCTCGCTCTGTCACCCAGGCTGGAGTGCAGTGGCGTGATCTTGGCTCACTGCAACCTCTGCCTCCCGGGTTCAGGCAAGTCCCAGTAGCTGGGACTACAGGCGCACGCCACCATGACTGGCTAATTTTTGTATTTTCAATAGAGACAGGGTATCTCCATGTTGGTCAGGCTGGTCTGGAACTCTCGACCTTAAGTGGTCTGCCCCTCTTGGCCTCCCAAAGTGCTGGGATTACAGGTGTGGACCACTGCGTCCCACCGTCAATAGCATTCTTTAAAGCCAGTAAAAATACAGGGAAGACATTATTTTCCAAAAGAACCAAAATTATACAATATTTAAGAATTAATCTTGAAATCCACCTCTGTTTTGTGAGAAAAAAACCAAAACCAAGCAACCTGAAATCTTGTTCCAGGCCATGTTGGAACACGGGGCTAGGGGCTGCCGCCAGCCTGGTGTGGAGGGGCGGTGGGGGGGCCGCCGCTGCACTGGGCCCACCTTGCTCTGGCCGCACTCATCGGGTTCCAGTGCCCATATTCCTGCGGCTCTGGCGACCCAGGGGAGGCTCTGGGCCGTGGCAGGTGTCGCGGCCCCTCCGGGCCTGCCTTGCACCCCAGCGGGCCAGTGCCACATTGAGCTGCCCTGGCCCCCAGCACCACATGGCCCCCTCCGCCCTCCCCATAAGCAGTGCTGGGACCTGGCTTTCCTGTGGCAGCCCCTCCCTCCCCTGCTGAGCTATGTGGCTCAGGGACAGGACGCCCTGGCTGCTCAGCCCTATAGCTCGGTCGCGGGTCAGTGGGCCGTGCTGGTGCTCTCTGCTCAGACCTCCAGGGCCTGAGCTCCTGAGATGCCGGGTGCTGACCAGGCCTGCCTGGGTTCTGCCTAGCCATCCGGCCGGGATGCCAGGGCCTGCTGGAGCCTGCCCGCCCAACGCCTGGCTCAGCCAAGCTGCTTCAGGTAGGGTGTGTGTGTGTGTGTGTGTGTGTGTGTGTGTGTGTGTGTGTGTGTG